ATAATAATCCTTCAACAAATACTAGTAATTCAAATTCAGCCACATGTCAAGGTACTATAGAATATGGGCAAGTGGTATTTATCCCTGGGATGCATGAGAATTTCTACAATAGAAATCATTCAATGTAATAATCACATTAACATAATGAAGATTAAAAATCATATGATTTCTTTAATTGATACATAAAATTCTCTTGATTAAAGTCAATACACATTCATGATAAAACACTCAACAAACTAGGAATAGAAATTACCTCAACATAATATGCTGATAAAAGACAAGCCCACAGATAACATCATACACAGTGGTTAAAAATGACATCTTCTACTTTAAGATAAGGAACAAGGCCTCACTTACCACACTTATCCAACACTAATGGAATTTGTAAACACTAATTACCTAAAGGAACAAATAAAAGAATTTCAATTTGGGAAGGAAGAAGTATATTATCTGTGTTTATAGATGGCATGATTTTATATGTAGAACATCATAGATTCCACAAAACAATTTAAAATAAATTCAGCAAATTTGGAAGATACAAAGTCAATATCCAATGTTAGTAATATTGCTATACATTGACCATGAATAATATGCAAAGAAAATAAGGGAGCAATCCATTTTAAATTGCATCAGACCTGGACACCAGTGCCTCACAACTGTAATCCTAGCTACTTGGGGAGACCAAGATCAGGAGGAACATGGTTCAAGCCCAGGCAAATAGTTTGCAAGACCCTATTTCCAAAATAACCAGAGCAAAATGGACTGTAGTTGTGCCTCCAGTGGTAGAGCATCTGCTTGGCAAGTGCAAATCCCTGTGTTCAAATCCCAGTGCCAACAAAAAAAGATAGCATCAAAAAGAATACAATACTGAAAGTATGGGTGTTGTGGTGCACCACTGTAATACCAGATATTTGGAAGGTAGAGATTGGAAGCTTGCACTTCAAGGACAGCCTGGGCAAAAAGTAATTTGAGACCCCCATCTCATTAAACAAAACTTGTCTGGTAGTATGTTTCTATAATTCCAGCTAAACAGGAGGCACAGGTAGAAGGATCATGGTCTGAGGTCAGCCCTGGGCAAAAACATAAGATCTTATCTGAAAAATAACTAAAGCAAAAAAGGACTAGGGGTGTAACAGAAGTGGTAGAGCACCTGCCTATCAAGAACAAGAACCTGAGTTCAAACCTCAGAACTAGCTAAATAAATAAATGCTTAGGAATAAAATGAAGTAGATGGAAGACATTGAAAATGCAAAAATATCACTGAAAAAAATAGACAAAGCTTTCAGCTGGGCACCAGTGGCTTACTCCTGTAATCCTACCTACTCAGGAGGGAGAGATTAGGAGGATCATGGTGCAAAGCCAGCCCCGGGAAATAGTTCCAAGACCTTATCTCAAAAAACCCTTCACACACACACACACAAACACACACACAAAATAGGGCTGGTGGAGTGGCTCAAGGTGAAGGCCCTAAGTTCAAGCTCAAGTACCAAAAAACAATTAAGAAGAAAACTTTCAAAAAAGAAATACATGTTCATGAACTGAAAGACTTAATATTAACATATCCATAATATCCAAATTTATGCACAGATAAAATGCAATCTTCAACTGGTGGAGTGGCTCAAATGGTAGAGCACCTGCTTGGCAAGTGTGAGGCCCTGAGTTCAAGCTCCAGTATCACAAAAAAATGCAATTTCCATCAAAATTTCAATGGCAGCTCTCTACAGAAATAGTAAAAAAAAATCCTAAAATTTTCATGCAATCTCAAAGGACTCTAGATGACCAAAAGATCTCTCAGAACAAAGTAGGAGGTCTCATACATCTTGTTTTGCAAACATATTCCAAATTTACAGCAATCAAAACAGTATGATATTGGCATAAAGTCAGACTTGCAAAACAATGGAATAGAATACAGCCCAGAAATGAATTCTTCTGAATGTAGTCAAATGACTTTCAATAAGAATGATGAGGTTACATAATGAAAAAAAGATAGTTTCCTCAACAAATACTTCTGAAAAACTGGATATCACCAAGTAAAGGAAAATTGCATTCTTATCTCATAATATATAAAATTAAAGCATATGAATTAAAGACTGAAACAGGAGATCTGAAAATAAAAGTGCTTGGAAGAAACTAGAGGAAAAATGCTTCATGACAATGGCTTTGTCAAGGATTATTTTTCTATCTCATTTGTTTTTTCAGAAAGTAATGGATCTCATGATGATATTTTTGTATATGTATACAATATGCTTCAAGGATATTTACCCTCACATCACACTCTGTGGTTCCCCTCCAAAGTCCCTATAGTTCTCCCCTCCTCCAAAAGAAAAAAAATAGTAAATAGCTCCAGGTGTATGTTCATGTTTTCTCATTGGTTTGATTGTTTTTAGGTTTAAATTCCACATATGAGAGAAAAAATGTGTTATTTACTTTTCTGAATCTGGCATAATTTCTTAACATGATGAACTATTGTCCCATCTATTTTCCTACCAATGACATAACTTCATTCTTCTTTAATGCTAAATAATACTCTATTGTGTATATGTACCATATTCTTTATCCATTCACCTGTTGATGGGTACCTAGTAGATTCCATGGTTTGGCTATTATGAATAGTGCTGCAATAAACACGGGTGTGCAGGTGTCTTTGTTGCATGCTAACTTACATTCATTTCTATATATGCCAAGGAGTGATGAAGCAGTATCATAAAATAGTTCTACTATTAGCTTCCTGAAGAATCTCTGTACCAATTTCCATAGTGGCTGTATTAATTTATATTCACAGTAACAGTCTATAAGAGTTCTCTCCCCTCACACATCCTAGCAAGCAGTGAGTTATATTTGTGTCCGTCATGTCAGCAATTCTGAGATGGAATCACAATATAGGTTTGATTTGTGTTTTCTTTATGGCTAAGGTTGTTGGACATTTTTTCATGTATACATTTGTCATTTGTACTTCTTTCCATTAGAAAGGTTTGATTAAGAAGTCTCTTTGAATGAACTAGGAAGTGCAAAAGGGCCCTTTTACTGATGTCTGGTAGCTGCATGTAGATCTTCCATCTTTTTATTGTACAGTACCCTCTGGTGCATGAGTATGGATCTTTGGATCTTTCTGTGACTTCCCTTTTACTCTTGCTTGCAGTCCTGATTAGAAAGAGGAGCAGAGGGAGAAGCTCTCCCTTCTGTACCATTTTGCTCAGTGTTGTGTAGTGAGGTTTGCTGCTGCTTGTATAAATCTAAAGTTTATTATTTCTGATTTTCCTCTGATTTCTAACTCTATGTTTACTGTTACATCTCTCTGAGCTACAAATCTTATGGTTTTGTTTCAGATTCATGAAAACCCAAGAAAGTGTGGGGAATCTGCAAAATATAATCTTGAATACTTTTCCAATGATTTCTTAAATATGACATGAAAAGCACAGGCAAGCAAAGCAAATCTAAGTCCCTTGGACAACACCAAACAGAAAATCTTTTGCCCATTGAAATAAACAATTAGGAGCATGAAAAGGCTCTAAACAATATATCTGGAGTTAATATCAAGAATAAATAAAAGAACTCTCTATTTGATAACAAAAAATCTAATTATAAAATGGGTTATGACTCCAATTGACATTTCTATATAAATCATAAACATATGAAAAGTTCAAAAACACTAATAATCAGAAAAAAACTTCAGAACCACAAGTTATCAATTGATACTTATCAAGATGAATAATACTAAATGAAAATAGAATATATTTCATTGGTAGAGAACTTTAACCCTTTTGTACTGTTGTTGGAAGAGTAAAATGGTGCAGCTCCTATGGAAAATTAAAAATAGATTGACCATATGGTCCAGCAATCTTATTTCTGGTCATATATCCAACAGAAATGAAAAGAGTGTCCCAGAGATATTTGCACACCCATGCACATTATATCTTTATTCATAAGAGCCAAGAGGTACATGTATCCTATAAGTCTATGTATGGATGACTGGACAAATTAAATGTAGTATACAAATAAAATGGAATATTATTCAGCTGTATGAAAGAAGAAAATGCTGTCATACACCACAAGACTGATCATCATTGACAACATTATGCCAAGTGAAATAAGCTACTCATAGAAAGACAAATACTGAATGATTCCACTTAAAGTAGACATCTAAAGTAATCAAATACAAAGAACTAGAAAATACATTGGTGGCTACCAGAAACTTGGGAGAGAGGCAGTGAGGATGTATTTGTTCTGTGGGTATAGAGTTTCAGTCATGCAGGATGGCGCATGATATGGGAGTTTGGAGGATGTACATGCTGTTGACAATATTGTACTATAATTAAAATTTTAAGTATATGTTATATGTGCACAGATTGAGCAAAATTTTTAAAGTAAAATGTCTTGTGTGGATAAGGCAATTACAGATAACTAATAAAAACTCTTCCTTTGATTCCAATCAGCTAAATGAGTACACATGGGTCTTAGCAGTTGAAGTAAAACTCAAAGGAAAATATCTGTGTCCTAAGAGAACAGGATAAAAATGTTGTTTAATCATGTTAAATGCAATATTAAGGAAATACATTTATCCAAATCAAGCTGAAGACAAAAAGCAAATAATTAAAATGGGACTTCCACCAAGAACCTTAATACAGACTAAAAGTTCAACTGTGTGGGTGCTGAAGAATTAGATCTGGCTGCTTAAGTCTACCTACTACTCCAAGGGAGCAGATGTAATTGTTTAACACTAATTTTTAATCTTTATACTATAAAATAACACACTGTTAATGGGAAAAATCCTGGAGTTATTTAGGAATTAGCTTAAAAAGAAAAAAACGTAATTGGAGTTAAATATGATGATAGAATGCATTGTCATGCAGCAAGTACTCTGTAGAGAGATTCTTATGAAATCACGGAACATGAATAACTAGGTAGTTTAATAACAATAGGTGAAATTCCATGAGCATTTTCTGTGGATCTGGCATTATATTAACCCTCACTTGTCTTATTTAGTTATGTAGACTACTCACCTGTCCCATTCACAGATGAAGAATTTGAGAACTAAAGAAATAAAGTAGCTTCTGGAAGTTTATTCATCCAGGTAACACAACAGGAGATTTTGAATCCCAAATGTCTGATTCTAGAAGGCATGGATATTGAAATTACACAGAGAATTTATGAATTTGGACATTTGCAGTAGAATGGATGGAACTGGGGATCATTATGTTGAGGGAGATAAACTGAGCTCAAAAAGCAAAATGTCTCATGTTTTCACTCATTTCTGGGATGTAGACCTAAGAATAATAATGGGGCATTAATGTAAAAAAGGGGGCTCATTTGGAGTAGGAAGCAGTGGGAAGGAGAAGGGGAAAGGAAAGAATACTGAGAGGGTAAAGAGGATTGAAATTCATTACACACATACATATATATACATATACATATATATATATGCACACATATGACATATGACGAAAACATAAGAAAACTCAACTCATGAAAACACTGTTTGAAAAGAGGGAAGAATAGTTAGGAGAGGTCTGGGAATACAGTGGAGGGGATGAGTTTGTTCAAAATACATTGTGCATGTATATATCTGTGGAATTATCACAATGAAAGCCACTCATTACTTTATGCTAATTCAAAAAATAAGATCACATTTAAAACAAAATAAATAAACTTGGGCATATTACTTAACTTCTCTGTGACTTATTTTTCTTATCTGTCAAATAGGAATAAATCCACTATCTATTCACAATGCTAGTATAAGGAATCATAGGAAAATATATGTTACATGATAGGAATATAGTAAGTACTTAATAAATAGTGACTTATTTGTGTTTCTAGATAAGATCAAGCAGCACAAAATATTAAAGCATTTCCAAAGACCTTTGGCATTAAGTTAGCAAAAACTGAAAAGGCTTTCCTGAAGCCATAAATAAATGTAATGATTTCTTGAAAATAATGAACCCTGATAAGCTAATTACAAGTACAACAAAACAAAATTGATATTATATCAGACTGTCAGAAATTAGTGAAAATATTGAGGAAAAAATAAATTGTTTCTAAACTATACATAATAAATTTAAACATAGGTTTTTTCATACATATCTTAGCTCCTGGTATATAAATGATTCTGTTTATTTAGAAAAATGACAGATTAAAACTTGTAAACTTCTTTTCTTTTCTTAGGCACACTGCCTTAAATTTCTGACATTGCAAATAATAACCCTTTTGGTGTCAACTGATTTGAATAATAAATGTGAATTACTTTTCTTAATAAAATTTACTATGTCCTTAGAGTTATGTATCTACATTGACTAACAATAAAAATTGTTAGGTCCTTAAAGGTGCATATTTACATTGACCAAAAATAATTGAAATTTAAAAAGTTTTTTTGCAGCTTTGAAATCCAGATTCAGTTTATCTATAATATGAATATTTCCATGTAGAGAACAAAGAGACCTATGTCTTTTTAGGTGAAATAAGATAAAAGGAATAGTCACTATATTTTAGCATGGTCCATGATTTCTGCCTCAGAAAAAGTAATAGCAAGGAGTGTGTAACACACTCCCACCCTTTAGTGAAACATTTCTTGTGTTCTCTTTACAGAAAGTAGTCTGAATCAGAATCTTTCATCACCCCCCCTTTTTTTTTCTTTCATCACTAAGAAGGCAGCTATGAAGTTCAAAATTGTTTTTGAGTATTAAAGCTTCCCACCTATAGGTGGAGACACTTATGAAATACTGATACCAGCCAAATGTTGCTTTTCATGGATTGTATTCAAGAGAAAGACTCTGCAAAAGGTCCTTACATGAGTTGGTAAATCTGAAATTTTTACCTCATGATTTAAAGGAATCAAAGGGATAAATTTATAGACTGGTAGCAATATGGAAAAATAATCCCCGAGACTCAGAGATATTCAGCGTTTCTGGATGATTAAAGAAAATAAAGATGAATAAAACCTAAATATGAGTAGACTTTTTGAAAAGACTGTGAAGCTCACTTTACTTTTTTATCAGAAAAGGAAAACTTTAATACATAAAAATGAAAACAAATGAGTTTTAAAACTTTTTAGCATAATAAAACAAGAAAATAGTATACTAACTGTTAAAATATAATACTGTTTTTGTGGTTTTAAAGGGCTACATTAAGATGACAAACACTTTTTTTCTAGTCAGACAAGTATTTAAATGAAATAATCTGTTAAGCGCTGGTAGTGCAAAACATTTTTTTCTTTGTTAGATTTTAAAAACAAAATGAGATTTCCTGTACAGTAGTTTCCTAGGGCTGCAGTAACAAATTATCAAAAATTAGTTGTCTTAAACAGAGTACACACTGGGTGGCTTAAAGAGAGTACTTGGGATATATGTTTCCTTATTCATTCATTGTTCCAGAGGCTATAATCCTGAGATTAAGATGTACTTAAATTATTGCCTTTGGACAGTTGTGAGGAAGAATTTCTTCCAGGATTCTCCCCTACCTTCTAGTGCTTTTCTGGCATTCTTGGGTGTATTTTGGCTTGTAGAAACATCATCCTCATCTCTGCCTTCATCTTCTTATTGCATTCGCTCCCTGTGTCTTGGTATCCAAATTTATCTGTGTACAAGGAAGCGAATCTATTAGATAAATGCCCATTTAAGGTTACATTCTAAGGAACTAAGGGTTAGTACTCTGAGATATCTTTCTTTGGTGGGGAGGGCACAGTTTAACCATTAATACCTTGCAACATTTAGGGAAAGTAAAAGGGTGTGTGTGCCAGAACATCTATTTACTTCCATATCACATGGATGATTTGAGACAAGAATAGGACAGAAGGGGCCAATTTAGAGAAATTGGTCAGGTTAGACTGGTAATTAATACTTAATCAAGTGCATTACTCTATAGTTCTAAAGGAGATGTTCCTTGCAAAGTAAAGCCGGATTAGGCTCCAAAACTTGATTGCAAAACAACCTGACTGGAGGTTTTGTTACATGCCATTGGTATCTTTAGAGATGTCAAAACAGTTTATGCTGTTACAAGTATAGGGTTGTTCATATGATCCTTATGCTGTTTTTCACAAGGATAAAATAATATGCTGAATTACTATCAGGGAAATTTGTAGTCTAGACAATTCACATTTGGCAAAAATTATATTAAGCTTAGAATAAAGAATCCTTCCTCTTGGTTTATCTTTAAAAAAAACTGCCACAAGTTATGTAACAGTCAAAAGGGACTACAATTTCATTATTTTCATGCTAAAGAGTTCAAAAATGTGAGTTAAAGAGTATTCCCACTGGATAAATGATGACCAGTTGTTCATCTAAATAACTAAACAGATGAATAAAACTAGATATAGCCAAGTAAACTAGTTGACTTTTTAAATAAAATAATGACTTCGTATTGCATTTTAAAATGCATGAAGTGTTCTACAAAATATCAAGAAATTTTCCCTAATGACATCATGTTAATCATATCTGGTGAGTATTAACTACTAATACTCTATATTCCACAGAATGTTAAATGCATCACTTCAAAAATTCAGCACCCAAAAAACTAGATAGCAATTTTTGTCCTCAATGCAGAGAAACTAATGCAGATACTTTAAAGTGACAGAGGCAAATAGGAGAAGGAGACCAGGAACTAGAGAAAAGGTTAGTTTGAGAAGAATTAATTTAGAAGGTAACACACATGTACAGGAAAACAATGCGACTCAACTCCCTGTATAGCTATCTTTCTCTCAACTAGCAAAAACCCTTGGTCCTTTCTATTATTGCTTATACCCTCTTTTCAACAAAATTAGAGATAAGGGCAAAATAGTTTCTGCCTGGTAGTGAGAGGGAGGGGGCATGGTAGATAAGGAAGGGGGTGGGGGAAGGGGGAGAAATGACCCAAACATTGTATGCACATATGAACAAAAGGAAAAACAATCAGCCTATATTAGTATGTCAGGTGGTCAAGTGGTCTATGATATGCTATAACATTACTTCTAAGGAAAAAGAAAGTTTAATTTCCCACATTCCAAGGAAAGGAAAACTACCCAACTCATTTTATGAAGCCAGTATTAAACTCAACCCAAAACCAGACAGACACCTCCAAAAAGGAGAACTATAGGCCAATCTCCTTAATGAACAGCAATCCTAAAATCCTCAATAAAATAATGGCAAACTGAATCTAACAACCTATCAGAAAGATCATTCACCATGACCAAGTTGGCTTCATCCCAGGAACGCAGGGGTGGTTCAACATACACAAATCTATAAATGTAATACAGCACACTAATAGAAGCAAAGACAAAAACCACTTGATCATCTCAGTAGATGCAGAAAAATCCTTAGATAAGATCCAACACCACTTCATGATAAGAGCTCAAAGAAAAGTAGAAATAGAAAGAATGTACCTCAACATTGTAAAGGCTGTATAGGACAAACATATAGCCAACATCATACTTAATGGAGAAAAACTGAAACCATTTCCCCTAAAATCCGGAGTGAGACAAGGGTGCACACTCTCCCCACCCATATTCAACATAGTACTGGAATTCCTAATCAGATCAATTAGGCAAGAAGAACAAATAAAAGGAATACAAATAGGTGAAAAAACTGTCAAAATATCACTATTTGCAGGAGACATGATCCTATATCTTGAAGACCCAAAAAACTCTACCCAAAAAGTCCTAGACACCATAAACAGCTACAGCAAGGTGGCAAGATACAAAATCAATGTACAAAAATCATTAGCTTTTCTATACACCAACAATGAACAAATTGAGAAAGAATATATGGAAACAATTCCATTTACAATAGCCTAAAAAAAATCAAATACCTAGGAGTAAACTTAACAAAAGATGTGAATGATCTCTACAAGAAGAACTATGAACCCCTGAAGAAAGAGATCAAAGAAGACTACAGAAGGTGGAAAGATCTCCCATGCTCATGAATTGCTAGAATCAACATAGTAAAAATGGCCATACTACAAAAAACAATCTACATGTTTAATGAAATTCCCATCAAAATCCCAAGGATATTCATCACAGAGATTGAAAAATCTATCCTAAAGTTCACTTGGAAACACAAGAGACCACGAATAGCCAAGGCAATACTCAGCAAAAAGAGCAATGCTGGAGGTATCACAATACCTTATTTCAAACTATAATATAAATCAATAGCAATAAAAACAGCATGGTACAGGCACAAAAACAGATATGAAGATCAGTGGAACAGAATAGAGAACTTGGATATGAATCCACACAATTATACCCACGTTATTTTTGACAAAGGTGCCAAAGAAATACAATGGAGAAAAGGCAGCCTTTTCAACAACTGTTGCTGAGAAAAGTGGTTATCTGTCTGCAAAAAACTGAAACTAGATTCATGTTTATCACCCTGTACTAGTAGAACTCTAATATCAGACCTGAAACTCTGAAGTTAGTACAGGAAAGAGCAGGGAATACTCTGGAAGCAATAGGTATAGGCAAGGACTTCCTTAATAGAACCCCAGCAGCTCAGCAACTAAGAGAAAGGATGGAAAAATTGGACTACATAAAATTAAAAAGCTTCTGCACAACAAAAGAAATGGTCTCTAGACTGAAGAGACTACCCACAGAGTGGGAGAAAACATTTGCCAGCTATACTTCAGACAAAGGACTGATAGAATATACAGGAAGCTAAAAAAAACTAAATAAACTCTCCCAAAATCAAAGAAACAATAAAGAAATGGGCAACTGAACTAAACAGAACTTTTTCAAAAGAAGTAATTTAAATGGCCAAAAAAACACATGAAAAAATGCTCACCATCTCTGGCCATAAAGGAAATGCAAATCAAAACCACACTAAGATTCCACCTCACTCCTGTTAGAATAGCTATCATCAAAAACACCACCACCAACAGATGTTGGCAAGGATGTGGGGGAAAACAAACCCTTGTACACTGCTGGTGGGAATGCAATCTAGTTCAACCACTCTGGAAAGCAATATGGAGGCTTCTTAAAATCTAAACATAGGTCTGCCATATGATCCAACAATTCCACTTCTAGGGAACATACCCAAAGGAAAGCATCTCAGGTTACTCCATAGGTACCTGCACCCTCATGTTTATTGCAGCGCTATTCACAATAGCCAAGTTATGGAAACAGCCAAGATGCCCCACTACTGAGAATGGATTAAAAAATGTGGTGTTTATACACAATGGAGTTTTACTCAGCCATGAAGAAGAATGAAATCTTATCATTCACAAGTAAATGGATGGAACTGGATCCTGAGCGAGGTTAGCCAGGCTCAGAAGACCAAAAATCATATGTTTTCTGTCATATGAGGACTTTAGATCTAGGGCAAAGGCAGTAATGTTGTTGGACTTGGGTCACACACTAAGGGGAGAGCACATATGGGATGAATGGGGATAAGTAGGAAACCCAAAACTCGAAAGTGGTTGATGTCCCCACTGCAGAGGAGCTAATACATTAACCCTAAAATGACAGAGGCCAATATGTGTAGGTGACTGGAAGTAGTGAAGAGGTCAGGTAGAAATGAATGAATTCAGGTTGTAATACACTTGTGCACGGAAGCAATGCTAGGAATCTCTGTGTAGCTATCCTTATTTCAACTACCAAAAATGCTTTGTCTTTCTTATTATTGGTTATGTTTTCTCTTTAACAAAATTGGAGAAAAGGGCAGAACTGGTTCTGCCTGGAAGCAAGGGGAATAGGAGGAGAGGGAGGGGGCAGGTGGGAGCAATGACCCAAACAACGTATGCACATATGGATATATGAATAAGGAAAAAAAAGGGAAAAATTTCTCACATTCTACTACTAGAAAGAGACTTAGTCTTTGGTGGGTATATAGCCCTGTGAGCAAAATTCAGAATGTGTGCAAATAAAATATTAGAACTCAGTCATATATATGAGTTATTCATTGTATATGGCTACTTTACCCCTATAATACCAATTTTGTAGTCATGACTACTTATAGCCTTCAAGCTTTAAAATGTTTACTCTCTTTCTAGAAAACTAAAGGTTTATCCCTGTTTTGAGGGATTAGGTATGGTACAGTAGTCACCATCCTTTGTAAGTTGGAAATAAAACATTTCTCTCTTGCGAGAAGTGACAAGACAGATCTCTGAGTAACACAAAGTCTCATAGTCCCCACCTTTGCTCTACCTGTGCTTCTCCTTCAATTCAAAGTAGAGGGAATTCAAATGTTGGGTGAAGTAGCTAGCACAGAATATTAATGGATTTGTGGGACTGGGAACATGGCAAGCTAAATTTTGTATCCCACTTAATTCCAACCAGAAATAATTCATTATGGGATATTTCATTCCAACCAAAAGATTCCACTATGGAATAATTAATCAACAGGCAGGTGAACAGTATGATTTATTCTACTTTCCTTCACTATCAGTTTCCACAATGAGTATTTGGCCATGAAAATGAAGATGTAGGTTTTAAATTATTCCTAACACATTAGATTTCCTTGAGCATAGCTGATGTAGTAGTTTCAGTTGCTGCTAAAAGTCCAATCTGTGGGAATCAGATAACATTACTGGGTCTTTGATAAAACATACTCTTGGTTAAGAAGTCCAGCTGGACACCTGGGGATAGGGTGACTATATCAGAACATCTCTTC